TTCTATAAGTGTGCTGCTGGTTTCTACTGCCTATGTGCAGCACCCTGCACTTGTCAGTATTAAAATGCATCCTGTTCATGTCAGCCCACTCCTGTAACCTATCCAGGTCTTGTTGTAGTCTTTCCCTCCCTACTAGCGTGCTCACCTCACCCCAAATTTAGGTATCATCAGCGAATTTAAACAGGTTGCACTTCACCCCGTTGTCCAAATCGCTGATGAAGAAATTGAACAGCGCAGGTCCCAGGACCGAGCCCTGGGAGACTCCGCTGCCCACTTCCCCCCAGGTTGAATATGACCTGTCCACCACCACCCTCTGAGTACGACCCTTGAGCCAATCTGCAATCCATCTGACTGTGTAGGCATCAATGCCACAGTCGCCTAGTTTTTTAATGAGGATGGGGTGGGAGACGGCGTTAAAGGCCTTGCTAAAGTCTAGAAAGACTATGTCCGTGGCGACACCTGCATCCATTGCCTTTGTGACCTGATCATAAAAGGCAATCAGGTTGGTCTGACATGATCTGCCGCTAATGAAACCATGCTGGTTGCCCCTGAGCATCATCCCTGAAGCCGGCCCATCACAGATGTGCTCCTTGACGATCTTCTCAAAGAGTTTCCCGAGGATAGAGATAAGACTAACGGGCCTATAGTTGCCCGGGTCCTCTCTCTTCCCTTTTTTGAAAATGGGGACCACGTTAGCTATCTTCCAGTCATCTGGCACCTGGCCCGAGCACCACGAGCGCTCGTAGATAAATCTACCTATACCCGATCTAACTGAGTGCATCTTTGAGATATAGTTAAATAAAATCGGTTGGTCCTTTTTGACTGATCTAACCTTCCTGGCACTTCTTTACAGTTTTCCCCTTTAGATTGACCTAACTAGGGATATAATCATAGATCTTTATGTGGGTCAACTAAGTTAGACCAGGTGGCCATATTTAACATGATCTAACCAGCCCTAACTTCCCTGAATGTCTGTACATACCCATACCCACAATGTACAACCAATAATATTCTTCCTTTCACTCTGTGTGCTGTTTTGATGACAATACAGTATTCTATGAATGATTAGAGACTTGTGCCAGTAGTCTGAATTCTAGTAGATAACTAATGTTATGTAAAATTATTCTTTTTTCAAAGGAGACTCATTGAATATTTGTATTCACAGTGCTCTGTCTGAGAGAGGGAAATGGGAGTGGTATGTTTACTATTTAAAGAGAGCTAAGATAATGCCAGAATACATGTAGTGAAAATGTATAGATGGTAGAGCTAGAAAAGAGTCATAAAATCTATCTTCCTGAAAATACAAGGTTATTCTCTGTTGTCGAGGATAAAATTTGTTTTCATTAATCTTAAAAATAAATTTGAGGAGAATAGAATTTGAATAGAGTCTAAACAGAAATTGAGATAGTCTGTTAAGGTAACCACAGTTTGAGTTTAAATATGTATTGTACACTTTTTCACTGTATAAAACTCTTATTTAAGAGTTTCATTGTTCTTTCTGCTTATAGAAAGAACCTAAAGCTCATGTAGGTTATTTTCTGCAGACATTACAAGAAGAAAATAGGAGTGCTTCAACTAACTGAGAAGTTCCTAATTAGTTTTTACATCTGTCTCTTTCAGTGCCTTTCTCGAGATGCAGCAGGAAACATAAGCATTCAGTTTCTAGGCACAGTGGTGAGTATTCAAGAACTACTTTAATGCAGTGGGCCTACACTGTAATGTAATGCAGCGGGAAAATTGGCAGTCGATACTGACCATACATGAGCCTGAGCTTGTGGGTTTTTTTACTACATTAAAACATTTCATGTATTTAAAACAGGTGAGAGAGAACTCTCCAAAGCTATCCTCTGATGACTACTGCATAGTGTTTACATTCCACATTTCACCTGATTTGAGCCTGTACCTTTTGGCTCCTAGAAGGTTAGGTATAAATTAAAGATTTACACTTGTAAAGAGATTCTTGGTATAGAGCCTATTGGAACGCATCGAGGCTTTGTACAGACATTACAGCTAGAAGTTTGGGGGTTTAAATTGTGTTAAAAATGCCCCCCTGGTCTAACTCAGTAATTAGGTATTGGAAGCCTAACTTAAGATAAATTGGGGTAGAGGGAGGGGTGGGCAGAATGGGGGCTCCTAGCAGAGGAGCTTGGGCAGATGGAGGCATACCGGGGTCTGTTAGGGGGTTGGAAGGGTTTGGGGGGGGCGGGGTTTGATGGGATCAGAGAGACTCTTTGACCCCACTAAACTCCCTTGGATTCCCCTAACCCCTCCCAATGTTGTTGAACCATTCCTGGGGCTGGTTTTACCAGCATTTGCCAGTCCTGGGGCCCTGACTGAAATAAATTAGGGGGTGAGGGAATGACTTTGTGGAAAGAGGTTTGGCAGGTTCTGCTGAGTGAAAAGGGTTGGTGGAATCAGGGGGGCTCTCTCCTCTGGCCAGAGTCTATTTTTAGCCCCCAACCCACCCCCATCCCCACTTGATCCTGCCTGACCCTCTCTACACACCTTAACTTACTTAAATTGACTTCTGGCACCAGGAAATGCTAGTAAAACCAGCACCAGGAGTGGCTTGAGGGATTGGTGGGGAGGGACTGTCCATCCAGGGGTGGGGTGAGTGGCTGAGGGGTTGGGAGAGGTGTAGGAAAAGCATAGCCCTTGGACTGGAGCCAGCACTTGGGCTTGCCCAGCCCTGAGACTGCAGTCAGAATGTGTACAGAAGTTTGGTTAGATGAGTCTGCCCACACCCAATCTAACTTAGTGTACCTCCAAATTACAGTTTAATGAGATTGGGTGGCCATATTCAATGGGATAAAACCTTCCTAAATGTCTGTATTGTGCCTTCAGTGTTCAGTCTGTTTCTTCCTTCTGTGTTTTGTCCCCTACACATGACTGCTCTGATGTTATTTATTGTCCCTCCTAGAGTCCAGGGCCAAACTCTTTCATTCTGTACCCTCAAATTTTCAAGACACTGCAGTAGCCATCATCCCAGCTAAAGAGGACTAGGTGAGACTAGCTTTCTACATCCACCACCAGCTGTGAAGAGCTGCAAGTTATGTCCAGGCAGCTTTCTCAGTTCTTTTAGCTTCATAGAGAATTAGATTTGGAATCACATCTATGTTGTCTTTTGCATGGCAGGCCTAGGCAATCAGGTCTTTCACCTGTTTCCTCATCATAGGTTCCTATGTGCAAGATGATGCTGAAGTTTTCTATTAAGTGATAGGTGTGTGTGTGCGTGTGTGTGTGTACACACGTATACATGGTTCTCCGGGGTGCTGCAACATCCCTGCTGGCCCATGTGTGAAGAGGTAGATACTTGCCTCCCCCATGAGGCACCCTGCATCTATCTCAGCTACTCCAGCAGTGCCTGTGGCTGCTTTTCTGGGAATTGCTGCTGCTCTTCCCTGGCCCCAGTGCTTGCCTTCCCCTCTCCTGGTGCAAACGCATGCTATGCTGCAAGCAGGTTGGTGGGCAGATGCACGAATGGAGCTGCACTTTGCAGCCCAACTCATCCCCTACAGTGTTCTCACATAACAAGAGCTGACCAGAGGGGCTGTAGGGTTGGGCAGTAGTGTATAAGACCCTGCAGGAGCAGCCTTAGCAGCAGAAGCTGCCCTTGCTCCCTGAGGTGTAGATTAGGGGACAGAAGGGTGCAGACAGTGGAAAGAATAGGGCATGAAAGGGTCAGGTCCTGCCCCCCCCATCCTTATCTAGCACTAGCAGGATCGGTGGTTGTCAATAGCCTCAAGGACTCTCCGGTATCTTTTCTGAATGTTGATGTGGCTCAATGATTTTCAACTGCAGTGCCACGAAATTCAAAAAAGTTATAGAGGTGGCCCTTGAGGTTAAAATGCTGAGAACTACAGATTTATATAAATCAGGAGCATCTTAATTCTGTCAGTCAGATGGTTAGAGTGCTTCGATAAAAGTTTTCCAAGTTTGTGACCGAACATGAGGGAATTTCTAAATAAAACTGAAAATCACCTAAAAGCCACCAACATCCCCAGTACTGTCCAGTTAATTAAATAGAAAAAAATGATAAAGGCATGGAAATCAGAAAGCATCCTTGCATCCTATATTTTTGCCCAAGTTATTTGTAAAAAAAAGTTTTCTTTTATTTCCATATTGCATTTAATTAAATATGCTTTATTTTTACTTACTTATCTGTGATTACTTTACAGTTGTCTGTAAGGATGTCTTGAAAAGTTAAACTGCCACTAACATTGAATGTCCATGCATTATGCCATTATTTGTGTCTTAGTGTCAGGCACTTAATGATTATTAATAATTATTAAACAACAGTGCTCAGCTATATATAGATATAAAATAACACATGCGGGCAGACTATATATATATCCCTTTCCCCCATCCCTGTGTCAGTATCTTTTGTTTAGACTGCAAGCCCTTTGGTCTAGAAACAGCATCTTCCTGTCTGTTTGAATAGCACCTAGTGCAGTGTGTGTGTAGGAGGGGGCTATTTCTCAATGGGGCTTTTGACCACTGTCATCAATGACAGTAGCTACTAAAAATAATTCTCAAATCAAAGAAGTGCACCTGATCTTCCATTTGTAGAACTTGTTTTTGGGTTCTCCATTATTCATGTATTACTGCCTGTCACAGACAGGCAGAAGGGCAGTCAGTGTAATTATAAGGTTGCCAGTGGGATTTTTTTCCCTTAAAACTCAGTGGTGGAAAAGAATATTTAATGTTATGATCTTCAGATTTCTCAATATTCTGATTCCATATGCTATCTATTGCTCTAACAAGTAGTTTGTACAAATGTATTTAATTTTTCTATCTTTAATAGAAAATCTTAAGAATGGATTTGCACATTCTCAGTTTTTACATGGAGAAAAAATTCAGACTGAGTTTCAGTGTGATGTTACTTAGCGCACACACCGTGGACCTTTTTATTAGCACATGTTTTTAGAGCATCTGATTGGTAGCATCCAGCTTGTCATGAGGGCATCAGCTTAAATAAAATGGTTCACTTGATTTCTTGACATTAGACAGTAAAAGCAGTTCTGCTGCTGGTTTTTGATAAGACATGAGACTCAGCTTCACTGAGCCAGCTGACAGACACTGAGGAGAAACCAAATAGTGCTTCTTTATTAGAAACCTCATTGGTATCCTGTGTAACTAGTTGAAGAACAGGGGAGAGCATGTTCCAGCAGTCATACTTGACAATAAAAAATTAGCTAGGAGATTGTGGCTCACTAAGAGACTCCATCCTATCATAGCAGCTGATATCTTGGCCTTTTATTCATATGCTGTCAGCTGGACTTCATCACTGTGCTACACTTTTAGTATTTAGAAAATTCCAGTACTAGGATGTTACAATGCATCTCCTTGGTGACACAGGCTACTGTGAGTGCCTCAGACCTGTCCTCTGTGCCCTAACCAGAGGATTTTAATTAAGTCCAAGGACTCTATATTCAAGTGCTACATGGCCAGAAACCATGGTATCTAAATGATCTCCTAAAGCTCTCTAGGATGAAGCCTGTTGTCAACCTCTATGCTCTGTTTGCTCTATTGATCTATCTAAAAATGGGTAACAGTTTGCCTGGGAGACAGAAATTTCTTGGTGGCTAGTACTAAGTCCTTCCCCCAAGATGTAAGGATGGTATCCTTGTTTGCTCTGATTAAAAAAAAAAAAAAATCCCCAATTTTTGGATTAAAAACAGTAACCCAGAATCCACATTTTCTGTGATTAAAATGAAATACCACTATATGCATATACATACATACATACGTGCATGCGCGCGTGTGTGTGTGTAAAATGTGGATTTTAGGTTACTTTTTTAATCCAAAAATTGGGGATTTTTTTTTGAATAGGAGAAAACCAGGGTCATCACAAACCTTACCATCTTCCACTCAAAGTGCAGAGCATATTTCTTTGACTTCATCTTTTTTAGCATAAATTCAGAAGAATGTGAGTGAATGCTAATTTAAAAAAAAAAAGAAAAAGCAAAGCCCCGTACCAAAACAAAACACAAGTGCACATAGTGGTACATACTTGTTGCTCTGGGTAGAGGATGAAAACAGATGTTCTTCACATTGCTTAATACACTGCAGGAAGATTTAGAAATGCATTTAAAAACATTGAATAAGAACTGTATAGGATACAATTGAATGTTTCAGTTCCAATGGCCAAAAGATTACGTATGTGAAGAGCATGTCCTTTTTAACAGCAGCTTCTAGCACTTTTGGATTTGCTGCAGGAGCAAATATTTAGCCTTTCTCTCCCTGGCTCTGGCCTGCTGGGCACACCTTTTCAGATACAAGCATATCTAAACATTCCTCTTTGCATTATGGTCCAGTTACTCCAGTATCCTACGCACTGCAAACAACTTTGGAAAACTGGCATCTTTTAGTGTGGCTGCCCTCCTAACATATTTACTGTTCTACAAAAGCAGTATTATTCACTGATAACAAGATTGTTAAACAGGGCTTGGGAGATAAATGACCAATCTTTGTTACAGCTTGATGACTCAATAAGCTCTGAGGGTTGGGTGGAATTATACACAGAGTTAATAAACTCTGGTGGAATTCCTACATTTTAGAACACACAAGACAGATTCACTAAATTGTCACATCCTGTTTATCTGATTTATTGTATATTTGCAATTTTGTGGCCCTACCGTAAATCTGTCAATTTCTTGCAGATTCACGTCTTT